AAATTACTTCTCCCTGCCCATTCACAGCTTTTTCCTGACCCGAGTGTAGTCAATCGGAGTTTTGCCAGTTAATTTCAACAGGAGGAGAATCTGGGTTGGATTGAGGTTTCCTCCTTCTGTCCACAGCAACACAGATGCATTCCAGACCACTCTCAGGAAGAAAAAAAAAAAAGGGCAAATTCCCAGTTACTCTGGCAACCAGAGGGACATTTCTCTTTGCTATCATGTAATTTTGAAATTCAGTAGCTGTTTCGTGCCATGACATGTGTTTCTCTCCTCTGTCAAATTAATGTTTTCTTCCCGTGCGAAAGGCCCATCACGGAAAGAGAATAGAAGGAAACCATCAACACAAACAGCCCCCAGAAGCCTTTTCACATATCCCAACTCACATTTGCCATAATGGCAAAATCATGTTTGCAAACAACAAGGAAAAACTGCCTTAAACATGTACTTCCCAAAACACAGAGAATTAATTCAGCCTGCTCTGTGAATGCCCCTCAATGCATATGAGAGATGACTGGTAATAAACTGCCTCAGAAGAATGCCAAGACCTCTGCTACAGAGAGCGTCAGCTAAAGGCTGCACAGATTGTCTGACCCTGGCTGAATTTATCTTCCTTTCTTACCCTTTCCTCAACTAAGGTCCTCACTGTTGTAGCCCTTGGACTTGTTGACCATTTCATTAAGGGCTGTAAACACCCAATGAGACTTAGGCCAAGGTTTGACAGCTTTAGAAAAGCACTGGCGTATACAAAAATGTGACTGATCATGCCCTAAGGACTGGCAAGGCAGTCAAACCAAATGGGGATGCAAGTGGATTTCTCTTCCCTTCCACCTCATGTTCTGTGTTTTACAGGAGACAGTTCCCAAGCTGACAGGCAGGCAGCCCTCTCTACAGAGTAAGATGACAGCAAAACCTGCCTCTGCAGCCAAGGACAGAAAAGAGACTGGAAACATATATATGTTTGGGATGATTCAGTTTAGGCAGACTGCCTGGGTCAGGGTCCAGATGGTGTAAACTGCTGAATCTCAGAGTATACATTAGCTGAGACTCCAGTTTAATAAGTATATTTTAATTGAACATCTCAACTCTTTTGGTATTCTTTATAACAGCCCCAAACTTCCAAACAACCTCCAAGGCAAAACTGAGGAAGCAAAAACTGTTGTGACTTCTTTAAAGTAATGGTGTGAGTCACTGTCAGAGTTCAGGCAGAAGCCCACAGTTCCTGAGCATCAGTACAATATACCAGATGGAAAGGCAACCCATGAAGTTCATTGAGCTACAATAACAGCTTAAAGAGGCCTGAACTGCCCTGTGTACTTCAGTGAGTTGTTATCTGAAAGACTCAGGGCTGATACCTTAAAAGTCAACATTTTAAATTAATTAATCACTGAACAAAGTGGGCTGGAAAGGGGCAGTAACGCTCTTCTGTGGAGTTCAGGACACTGTGCTAGAGATAGAAGGCAGCGTGCTTTGAAGAGCACTTGAGAGAAAAGCACGCTGAAGACGCATATGAGGCAACTGAGCTCTTTCAACAAGAGCTAAAGACAAGAAGACAAGGAAGACATTGGAGCCTCAGCAATGTAAGCTCAGCTCTGTTAGTAGGTGGAATTAAAAAGTCTTGGGGGCACTTAAGCCAAAAGGATTCCCAAGGACATTTACAACTGTCCCATCTGTCCCTTATAGTTGGAGCTTATTTTGTAGATGGTTTTTGAAAGAGAATTAATACTGTCTTTCTCCCTCAGTTTAACCCTACTGGTGACTGACTGCTGGCATGAATGCCAAAAC